ATTCGATAACAGGGATTATATCCTGGGTACCTCATATTCTTTGTTCAATCTGCTTTAATGATAGCTGGTTCAAGAGGTAAGAATTGCAACCACATGCTACTAAATAATTAATTGAGATGGTTTTGCATTCTAAAATAAAAAACTCTTTTGGTCCACGAGCAGTAATTTACAGATGGCAGCAAGCAAGCCAAGTGGCTCTACTCAAGAAGCTGCTCGATCTATTGAACTTTGCTTACACGCTATTGGTTCTCAACTACTCCGCCGTTGGTTTCATGGTTTGTTCTCCTTCTTTTTCACACTTGACATAGAATGAAAAATAGCAATTAACATCTTAACTTTTTGCCGAGTGAATAATTTGTTGTGCCATTAACAGGTGTTAAGCTTGCGTGAAACGTTAACCGCATACAGAAGTGTGTACTACATAGGGACCATCATCCCAGTTGTCCTAATCCTGCTAGGCAAAGTCATCAAGCCAGCAAGGCCAGCCAAGTCAAAAGTACGGAAAGATGAATGAGTTTTTTTTAAAAAAAAAAATAAAAATAAACCCTTGCATTTTTTGTTAAGAGCTTGGGTTGAGGTTAGCAAACTAGTAGACTTTTAAGTTCCTCTGCGTCTTTATTTGTTCTTGTTTAACATCAAATAACCAATAAAATAAAGACTTTTGTGCCCATTAAATCGTTTTTAACCATTATTTGCAGACATGGTTTCGTCGTCTAATAATTGTGTAGCGCCATTTGTTACTGTATGGTTAGATACGATCTTACATGTGCTTATTGTAGAATTTACAGTCGAACATGGAGGATCGGCTGTGAATGTGTTCATAACTTCATATATACATTAAGCAGCCGCTCTTTGTATGATTTTGGGCTTTTAAGACCAAGTTAATTTGGAAGAGGAAAAGCCAAGATAAATTGTTGGGCTGAACCAGATTTGACCTACTGGCCAATTGGGTTCGTGATCTGGTAATGAACACATTATGGCCTGCTTTTTGTTGGAGCCATATTTTTTTCCCTTTTGATAATTCAGGTGTCCAAGCACTTTTTTTTTTTAACAAAAATACTCATTTATGTTGTGAAATATCATATTTTTATTTATATTATTTTTAAAGTGACATTTTAATTTACATATTATTGAAAAAATATAATTACATAACCATTAATCCATCTAGTAGCAATGCAATAATATCCACTTGGACCACACTTTCATGTGTAGCTAAATTTCCCTCCCTCAATTTTTAGATTGGTCAGGCATGTGACCAAGCCTCCTATTCGATCGAAGAAGTGCATGGGTAAAGGACAGATAGATGACCGATCGTGTTAGTGGCTAGTCTCTCTTAACAAGCTGTCGCCGTACCATAGCCCAACCACTTACTACCTCAGCTAGTTAGTCAGATGGATACCACGACTGCATTGATCTATCTTTGGTTTACTATTTGGTACCATAGCTGGTGATCCGGGCTCTTTCCCTCTTAACGGTACCTAAGGCGAGAAAGACAATGGGGTTGGAAAAGAAAACTCAACCCGGATTTCCACCCATCGATTGACACCCCCATATTTCTATCCGGAAAACACGCGGAGGTATCCGAAGAGGATCGTTTAACCGTAGCAAGAGCTCGAAAAATTGAGCGTTTCTTATCACAACCTTTTTTTGTCGCCGAAGTATTTACGGGTTCTCCGACGGTTGCAGATTTTCTGTCCAGACCCCTGTTGCTCGTTTGGTCTCATTTTCAAAAAAATTTAACCTATTGTAGGTATCGAGTTCTTTACCGTTAGATCATCCTTTTCGCTTCATCATTTAATTACTCATTAGATGATGATAGATAGAACATGAACAAAGTTTTGTGCATGGATCTAAGGCTAAGGGAAAGATTTTAATAACAATGTAAATCTGTTGACAAAATTAAAGACATTATTTTGGGCAATTAATCACTAATTTTAGCTGGTGCATGGTATATTAGAGAGTAGGATGTTCAAGTATCATAAGGGCTCGCTTGTTTACAAATAACTCGTTCAAAATGAGTTATTTTAATTAACTAGAGGTAATGTTAAAAAAATTGGTATTGTTAGTTGTTAATGAGATTTTAAGAATATATTAAAATAATATTTAAAATAAAATGATTAAAATTGATTTGATGTAAAAGTAAAAGATAAATGATTGGAAATGATAGGTAGTTAAAATTATGTGAATTGATAAATAGTGAATTAAAGTTGATGTGATGTGTAAGAATGATGAGTTTGTATTATTTAATTATATGAATAATATTAAAGATATTGAAATTGAGTTAAAGTTGAGTTAGATTTTGAGTATGAATTAGATGTGAGTGAAATAATTTATAAACAAGTAAGCTATCATTATCTATTAAGATTTTCATACGCTGAAATCATGATCACTCTATATACCCCTCCTAGTGAATTGTACTATTATGAATGTGAACTTGGGAATTGGCATTGATTGGTCAGTGAAATTTACTCAATGATAAAAAAAAGTATCTGTTCGTCTTTGAAAACTTGTTAGTCGTTACCATTTGAATACGAAAAAGAAAAACTCTATTTTTGATATTTGTCAAGTTGGAAAAAGATAAAGCAAAGACAGCTTTATCCAATCATGGATCAAATAGTTAAGAATACTTTGAATCTTGATAACTTGGCAGGACACTTAAAAAGCTCTATTTGTTTTAATATCACGCATAAAATTTTTCCTTTATTTTATCTTTAGCAACAGACGTTGAAAGGAACAAATGCATTTTTTATCCTGCAGTTCATATTGTTTTTCATTTCTTTTTCCGAATTTCATTTTTATCTGCCGGTGGCTTGTAAAAGAATTGGACTAGATTTACAAAGTTTCTAAAATTACTGGACCAAATCGTAACCCCAAAAAGTTAGTGGATAAAAATGGTAGAATTAGTGGACCAAAAATGTATTTTTGCCGGAATTGGAATAACAGATAATTAACTTGTCGGCCGACTGGCGACTACTACTCGATTCTGATTCTCTATTAAGAGGGTTAATTTCAAATTATTGTATTGGTGAAGGATCAAACTATAACCAAAAGTTGAAATTGAAGAAAGAAAAAGGGACTGACTTGAAATGTGATTTGAAATGGAGCTAAGGGACACAAATGCATTTGTAGAGTTGTGCAAAAGATGGAAACTCCACATAGCAATTCACTTGCCATGTTTGTATCCAATAGGTGTGTGTTAAGTGTTAACACCCATCTCTGGAATTTTTGAAAAATGACCACTAACTAACTTATAATTACATATCCCTACCCAACATGCAGACTGCTGTTTGTTAATTACCAGATTTTACAAAGTGTGGATGACCCCTTCAGAAAAGCTAACTTTTTTATACTCTTCTTTTTCCCCTTTGTGCCTGCTTTTTTTTTTTTTATTACTCTTTTTTGGCCCCAATAAAAAGTATATGGAGCATCCTATTCCTGGCTAACTTAGTGTTCTTTTTATCTAGACCAGCCCATCACTATTTATTGAAAACTTTTATGTCCTATGGCATTATTCATAACTTCATTAGTTCATTTAATGTGCTGGCAATGGCATTCCTCAAGTACATCTATATAAAATTTTAAATTCAAAACAGGAAAAAGCAACTAGTTTCCTAATTTTTCCTTCTCTTCTGCTATTGGGCTCTCTGTATTTGGCTTCTTTCTCTCATAACTGTAGTCACCATGTATAATGTGCAAACAGTAACTAATATAATACACAAATAAAAGGATATGAATTACTATAACAACAACAATAAAATGAAATATAACAAAACCAACAACACGCAAAATAAGGGAACTGTATATTTTTTTTCAGAGGTGAAATTTTTCATTGGCACTTGCGATGTATTTTGTAGTCTGACATTGCGGGTCAGGAAAAAAAAAAGAAAAAAAAAAGTTCATTTTTTATTCACATACATAGTAATTAACTAACTTATAATAGCAGACATTTTTTTTTTCCTTATATACTTTCTCCATCGCGGTACTTTGCCTCGATACTCGTTATAGAAAGATTCCTCGACAGTACAATTTCATTACCCATAATAAAGGACCGTACTTTGATCGCACGAGAAAAAATGACTAATAAAGATTTGGTGCATACTAGATATGGCCAAATTTCGAGTCGGAATAGGCCCGATCAGACGGATCGCCGGGTTAAAAATCATCGACCTTAAATCGATCCATACCTAGGTATGGGCCGGGTACACGACCCAAATTCGGGACCCATTCTAAAAAAAAATTGATTCTGGGCCAACCCAGTTCATCGGGTCATATGTTCAAAATGGCCAACCTTGATTCGGCCCAATTAAAATCAGAGTGTATGGTAAGATGGCTGATTACAATTGGTTGAAACCTTTTGGCTGTCTAGTTTTTGCTGTGAACACTTCACCTTTCAAAGGCAAACTAGCCCCTAGAGGGCAGAAATGTGCATTTGTGGGATATGCACCAGGTTACAAGGGATACAAGCTATACAACCTTGAGGATCACAGTTGCTTTGTGTCTAGAGATGTTGAATTCTTCACAGATGTCTTTCCATACAAGGACACAACTCCTACTTTACCACATGATACCACACATGTGTCTATACCTACTGTTGCAGATTGGGAATCCTCTCATGGTGACTCTGCTGTTTTGGAGCAAGAAGATACACCCCCACAGTTCCATCTACAAGTGTCACATCACCTGTCACAAATCAGACTCAAGTGCATGAAGAGAGGGCAAGAAAACAGCCTGTGTGGATGCAAGACTATGTTAGTCATTGTACTGAGATTGTGGACCTAGACTCTTCTACTTCTGAATTTTTTGCTAATGTAGCTGAGGATCAAGAGCCATTGACCTATGAGAAGGCCAAGGGCCATGACAAATGGGAGGAAGCCATGAGCACAGAACTAGCAGCTCCAGAGAAGAACAAGACATGGAACTTATGTTTTCTTCCACCTGGCAGAAAAGCTATTGGTTCCAAGTGGATATATAAGATTAAAAGGAAAGCCAATGGGGAGGTAGATCGATACAAAGCTCGGTTGGTTGCAAAGGGGTACAACCAAGTGGAGGGGAGAGATTATTTCGAAGTATTTTCCCCTGTGGCTAAACTTGTCACAGTTAGAATGCTCATTGCCATGGCTGTCATGAAGGATTGGGAACTTTGGCATTTAGATGTCAATAATGCATTCTTGCATGGCCATCTTAATGAGGAAGTTTACATGAAACTCCCTCAATAAGAGAGAAATTATAATTTATTATTATTATTTTTTTTCCAAATTTTCATCTCGAAATTCCAAAACAATTGGAAGTAGTCTTAAATTCAGGCCCAGCCCTAAGATCATTAGGCGGAAAATTTCAATTGAGGCGGAAAATTTATTATAAGTTGAGATACTTTCATATTTTAAGTAGTAAAATAAATAAAAAAATAAGATATTTAATCTTAATTTCTAGGCCCGCCTAGGCGGGCACTGGTCGGCCGCCTAGCGACTTCTAGAACACTGGTCATAAGTTGACCGTGGAGATTAGTTTTTTTTTTCAATTTTTTTTTCGTGTGGAGATTAGTTTTTTTTTTTCCTCAAAACGATAGACTTTATAACAAATAAACACAAAATTATAACTAGATAATAGCCCAACAGCTGAATCAACTAACTAAAAGAATCGAGTGGGAGGACAAACCATAAGGTCGCCTATAACCCACGCCAAGCAGAACACAAGACGCTCTCTCACGGGAGAATATACCACCTCTCCAACGAAAGAATACCCAACTCCCAAGGTCATAATTTAATTTTTCTTGGTTTATCTTTAAGATAATATAAAGACTTTTCGTTAGATGGTAAACCAAGCCGGCTAAGTGGCAACACTTTTTCTATTTTTCATAATCCCTCTAAATCCCAAAACAGTTGGAAGTAGTCTTAAATTCAGGCCCAGCCCTAAGATCATTAGGCGGAGAA